GAGGTACTAATAACGCCCATCCGCCCTCATTTTCTTAAAGGGATCTTATTTGTCAAAATCAGTCTTATCTTAGCAGCTACTAGCCCCGCCCACCCACCCTCTCGTTTCTTAGAGGATATGTCATTTGCCAAAATCATTTTTATCTTAGCAGCTACTAGCTACGATAAGACTGATTTTGGCAAATGATATACCCTTTAAGGAAAGACAGGGTGGGTGGGCGGGGCTAGTACCTGTTACGATAAGACTGATTTTGGCAAATGAGATCCTTCTAAGAAAATAGAGGGTGGGTGGGCGGGGTTAGTACTTGCTAATCTAAGATCAATTTGGGTGAATAACATACCTTCTAAGAAAACTAAAAACTTGTTGACATCATTCACAAAATTTAATTACTAAAATCGCACTTGAAATGCATAGCAAAGCCTTTTACATTTCAATTTGTTAGGGTTATCATAACAAAAAATTTAAATTTGTAGAATTTTTTTATTTTTTGTATCCATTTTTTGTGGCTTTTTGTTGTGGATTTTTTCTAGAGTTTTTTTGTTTATTTGTTTCCCTTTTTGTCCTTTTTTGACAGCTGTTTCAACTCCGTTTTGTCTCCTTTTTGACGGTTTTTCTCATCAATTTTTTGTGCCGCTTTTCTTTATAGCCTTTTTTTCCACCTTTTTGTATTTTTGTTCGTTTTTTCTTAGCTTTTTTGTCTGTCTCTTTTTTAATTGTCCATTTTTGTTGTGCCTGCCTGTCGTCTGCCTCTATCGACTTCTATTAGGTAGATAATTTCCGAAACTACTGGACCGATTATTGTCAAATTTTATAAGTGATTCAAGAATTTTAAATACGTTTTAAGTTTCTTCTTATGAAAGGAAGACTACGCATATTACGGAAAAAATATAAAATATAAGCCCCGCCCACCCGCCCTATCTCAATTGTGACGAATTTTTTATTCGTCATCACCCGGAGGGCGGAGCTTAATTGAAAAATCACTATTTTTTACAAGAAATGGCCATGCGAAACACGCTCTTAATTAATCGTGTTGTTCATAATTAACTTTGTATACCTACGTATTAAAATAAAAAAGAAAGCCAAAAATTAAGCCCCACTTTTACCCGCCCCGATCTCAATTGTGATGGATTTTTCATTTGTTGTCAGACCGAGGGGCGGGGCGTAACTATAAAATGAAAAAATAGGTCTTCAGTTTTCGCCTCTTTGTCGTCTCTCTTTATCGTTTTTTCCTCACTTATTTGGTGAACATTTTTAATATTTTTCGTAGCCCTTTTTCGTGGGCTTTTGTTGTGGATTTTTTCCCGATTTCTTTTTGTTTTTTGTTTTCCTTTTTTGCCATTTTTTAATAACTGTTTCAACTCCATTTCGTCCTCTTTTTGGCGGTTTTTTTCATCTGTTTTTTGTCCCTTTTTCCTTTATAGCTTTTTATTCACTTTTTGTGTCTTTGTAATCTTTTTTTGTCGCTTTTTTTTATTTTTGTCCCTTTTTTAATCGCTATTTTGTTGTTTTATTATTCGTTTTTCTTGGCTTTTTTGTCTCCAATTGCCTTTTTTGTCGTGTCTGTCTGTCGTCTGTCTCTATCGACTTCTATTGGGTATATAATTTCCGAAACTACTGGACGGATTATTGTTAAATTTTATAAGTGATTCAAGAATTTTAAATACGTTTTAAGTTTCTTCTTATGAAAGGAAGACTACACATATTACGGAAACAATACAAAATATAAGCCCCGCCCACCCACTCTATCTCAATTGTAACGAATTTTTTATTCGTCATCACCCGGAGGGCGGAGCTTAATTGAAAAATCACTATTTTCTACAAGAAATGACCATGTGAAACACGCTCTTAAGTAATCGTGTTGTTCATAATTAACTTTGCATACGCATGTATTAAAATAAAAAAGAAAGCCAAAAATTAAACCCCACTTTTACCCGCCCCGATCTCAATTGCAATGAATGTTTCATTTGTTTTCAGACCGAGGGGCGGGGCGTAACTAGAAAATGAAAAAATAGGTCTTCAGTTTTTGCCTCTCTGTCGTCTGTCTGTCCTCTTTTCGTGTCTCTTTATTGTTTTTTCCTCAATTATTTGGTGAACATTTTTTATATTTTTCGTGGCCCTTTTTTGTGGCCTTTGGTTGTGATTTTTTTTCGATTTTTTTTTGTTTCTCTCTTTTCCCTTTTTATAACTCCCATTCGTCCCCTTTTTGGCGGTTTTCTCATCTATTTTTCCATCCATTTTTTCTTTTATAGCGTTTTTATTCACTGTCTTGTGTCTTTGTAATCCTTCTTTTGTAGCTTTTTTTTTTGTTTTTTTTTCATCCTTTTTTATTGCTATTTTGTTTCCCCCTTTATTAATTGTCTTTTTTTTGTCTTGTCTGCCTGTCGTCTGTCTCTATCAACTAATATTAGGTAGATAATTCCGAAACTACTGGACGGATTTTGTCAAATTTTATAAGTGATTCAAGAATTTTAAATACGTTTTAAGTTTCTTCTTATGAAAAGAAGACTACGCATATTACGGAAACAATACAAAATATAAGCCCCGCCCACCCACCCTGTCTCAGTTGTAACGATATTTTTTATTCGTCATCAGCCGGAGGGCGGAGCCATGGTAGAAGGAGACATGGTATAGGCATCCGATGTACCAATTTAAAAATGGTCTGCGCATCCATTTGTGACGTTAGGTGGCATCAGCGACCTTGTGACTCTTGTGAGCTTCGCTAGGGAAGTCTAGGGAATTTCAGCTTGAGTTGTCATTGCTCTGTCCAATACGTCAATTAGTTGTCAGATAACGAATTGTATTTTAAATTTCGCGCTAATTTCACCCCACTTGACGTCACACCCGATGCGTATGCCTATACCATGTCTCCTTCTACCATGGGCGGAGCTAAATTGAAAAATCACTATTTTCTACAAGAAAATAAGTACTCTTAAGTAATCGTGTTGTTCATAATTAACTTTGTATATGTATTAAGTAAAACAGAAAGCCAAAGATTAAGCCCCACTTTTACCCGCCCCGATCTCAATTGTGATGAATTTTTCATTTGTTGTTAAACCGAGGGGCGGGGCGTAACTAGAAAATGAAAAAATAGGTCTTCAATTTCTGCCTCACTGTCGTCTGTCTGTCCTCTTTTCGTTTCTCTTTATGTTTTTTCCTCACTTATTTGGTGGACATTTTTTATATTTTTCGTAGCCCTTTTTCGTGGGCTTTTGTTGTGGATTTTTTCTCGATTTCTTTTTGTATTTTTTGTTTCCCTTCTTTGCCCTTTTTTTAATAACTGTTTCAACTCCATTTCGTCCCCTTTTTGCCGCTTTTTCTCATCTATTTTTTTGTCCTTTTTTCCTATATAGCTTTTTACTCACTTTTTGTGTCTTCGTAATCCTTTTTGTCGCTTTTTTTTTGTTTGTTTTGTCCCCTTGTTTTTTATCGCTATTTTGTTGTTTTATTGTTCGTTTTTTTGGCTCTTACGTCTCCCCATTTTTTAATTGTCTTTTTTTGTCGTGCCTCTCTGTCGTCTGTCTCTAGCAACTAATATTAGGTAGATAATTTCCGAAACTACTGGACGAATTATTGTTAAATTTTATAAGTGATTCAAGAATTTTAAATACGTTTCAAGTTTCTTCTTATGAAAGGAAGACTACGCATATTACGGAAAAAATACAAAATATAAGCCCCGCCCACCCGCCCTATCTCAATTGTAACGAATTTTTTATTCGTTATCACCCGGAGGGCGAAGCTTAATTGAAAAATCACTATTTTCTACAAGAAATGACCATGTGGAACACGCTCTTAAGTAATGGTGTTGTTCATAATTAACTTTGTATATGTATTAAGTAAAAAAGAAAGCCAAAGATTAAGCCCCACTACGCACATTACGGAAAAAATGCAAAATATAAATATATAAATATATAAATTAACATTTTGAATTTGAAAACTGAATTTAATTATTTATTTATTTTAAATATAAATAAATTTTAAATAAACAGTCTGTATATTAAGACAATTTTCTCTATACCATAACAAAGCACGTACTTTTATTTTTTTTCACAAATTATTGAAAGAAAATTGGGATAACGTGGCAACATCGCAAGAGAATTCCAAAAATAAACTGTAAGTACTAAGAAGCGGTCAATCAGAATATGTAAAAATATATAGGGTAGTTATTTCATTTGCAAAGACTAAAATGTGTGTTACATAAAAATAAAACACTCTGTATAACTGAAAATAATTTAAGTATATGGTCTTCAAAGAACCGTACAAATTCGTCTTTGATTTTTTCTAGTGAAACGCCCTATATATAGATTTAATTAATACTTTTGAAGATATTTATCTAGTAGGCCTCGAAATTTATAACAATTTGTAATAAATAATGATGCTGATGACAACACCAACGCCTTCTTTCTTTGAGAGTTACGATCACAAAACTCTGTCAAATAATTGTCAAATAAAATGCAGTATCATCATTTTAAAAATAGATTTCATTGCCTATTAGAAGACTTGTTTTTGATTACAACTCTTTTGTTTTTTAGACACAAAATTAATGTCAGGGACGTGCAGGATTACTCCAAAAACTAAAATAAATAAATCGGGCCACTTGAACAATATTATTTTAGATAGGAAAAAGCTATAAAATTGCGGAAACCATGCCAACCTTAGGTAAAAAAATCATATTTCTGGGTTGTCTGCTTGCTTAATAATTTTGAGTAAAAAGGAGTGGCAACTTCTAGTGAATACCAAAAAAATTCCCCTGATAATCAACTCTCGCCCAAAAATAATCCACAAAAACCACCACTCATCAACTTTCATCCCCACCCCCACCCATTTCATTAATTCATTATTTCACCTTCCACCAGACAATTAGCAATCACCACCCCATTCATTCCTCCCTGTTAGATGAATGCAGTCCAACCCCCGTCGAAATTACATGATAGCACCACCTTGAATGGAATCATTAGCTCCGGTCAAGTTCAGCCGTTTCAGCTCTTCTCTTTTCCCCGCAGCTACCCCTCGTGCAGCGGCGCCCGCGCCCCCGGTTTGGCGGCCGACATGCACTTTAAATCCGACGTGATTGCATTCGTGGGCCCCGCTTGTTTATTCGCCCTTGAACCTGTTGCCCGACTGGCGGCCTACTGGAACACCCCCATCATCACGGGAATGGGGGACCAGCCGCCCACCGAGGGGGAGCTCTCGGTCACTTCGGGGATCCTGGGCCGCCTGCAGAAGTGGAATAAGAGCGACAGCGCCGTGAGTAAATGAGGAATTTGTAGTAATGGGCCATTAGGGCGGATGGGCTTGATTAGGGTGTTTCGTGATGGTAATTGGGGGTGGGCTTAATTGTGGCGTTATTCTATTTGTGTTGCTGGATTCGGGTTGCAGAGAAGAGAAAATTTAGAAAAGTGGAGACAAAGAGATTGAAGACTTTGGAAATTTGACGTTTACAATTTTGAAAAAGAAGTTCAGATAAATGTAATATTTTTTATTCAAATTTGGGGATTTCATATGGAACGAACCAGTGATTTCGATATTTTTATTAAGCTTTTTTAAGCCGGCATTGACCGGATTTATCAAGATTGAATTAACGGACAAACAAGATAAGAGATAAGAATTCTTAATTATCTATAACTTGTATTTTCTATAGAAGTGTCTATAATTAATTATTATAGACACTTCTATAGACTCTTATATTTTTGTCAAGTCATCTTAAACATTCATAATAGTTATTAATTTCAACATGGATGGAAAGTCACTCTAAAAAAATCATTTTAAATCTTTTAACAATTCATTGTGCATAATTATTATTATAAACTTGACCATTTTTAATGAAAAATTTGACGAAATTACCAAATTGTTTATTGTTAATATTACCACTAATTTTTAGGGAATTCTGAAAGACAAGAGCAAGTACCCAACCCTAACAAGAATGTCCTATTGCCAATGTAGACTGAAGTCAGTTTTTTCGAGCATTTTTAAGCAGTTTGGGTGGCGACATATTGCCCTAATCCTTGACAGGTCTGATTTATTTTCGTTAACTGCTGGTAAGTCTAGTCTATCTTTTTTTTATAAGTCTGTAGCCCTGCCAATACTGTCATTATCACTGTCATCAACATCATTAAAATGTATTTACGTATAATCAACAATAAAGTAAGATTGAATAAAAATTAAAACCTTTTCTATTAGTCTTTTTAAATTTATCATAAACCATTACTTTTATCGTTGCTATTTTATCAATTTTTTATTTGAACTAGTTGTAATTTATCTACGATATAGCGGAACGGTGCTGACAAGACGAGGTGGCCGAGTGGTTAAGGCGTTGGACTGCTAATCCAATGGGCTCTGCCCGCGTGGGTTCGAATCCCATCCTCGTCGTAGTTTTTTTTTTAACTTTTTTTTAAACAAAACGATAGGATGTACGCATTAACTTTATTCAACATATTTAGAACTGTAATTATTTTGTGACGCCGTTTATTTATTCGCTAATATACATAATAGTGTTTGGAAAAATCACCTAAATTTATTTTATCTACAGAAATAATAATGTAGAGTCAATTTGAGATGTCGTAACTATATTAACACATTTTTATTGATAGTAATATTGTTATCATAATTGATAAAAAAAATGGACTGGAAATAGCTTCATAGGCGCACTCTGTCAGTATGTCAGGATGGCCGAGCGGTCTAAGGCGCCAGACTCAAGGTTACCTTGCCTGATACCAGGTTCAATGAGCGTTCTGGTCCACTCTGTGGGCGTGGGTTCGAATCCCACTTCTGACATTCTTTTTTTTTTATTTTTATAGATTATGTCTAGAATTTTTATCACTATATTGTGATTTATGGATAAATTTAATAATTTTTTGCTCAGATTTGATGAAAACTTGGGAATTTTAAAAATTGATTATAATTATTAATTAGTAAATCAATATTCTGAAAAACTGTCTAAAAGTGTAAAATAAAACTTTGCCATTTAATTTCATTTATTTATTTATTTATTAAATACAAATGTTCACATAAATTTTAATTTAAATAAAAAGAAAAAAAGATGTGCCCCGGGTGAGGATCGAACTCACGACCTTAAGATTATGAGACTTACGCGCTGCCTACTGCGCTACCGAGGCGTTGTACATAGCTCCATACAACTTCCACTTACCACTCTCGTCGCAACCCTTACACTTAACCAAACTCGTTTCTTAGGGAAAAACCTGGAACACGGCTTAAAAAAGCAAGGCCTCCTCACTTTCATGCGCGAGCTGGACGGCAACGACAACGAATCCATCGACAACTACCTCCGCGACGCCAGCATGTACGCCAGAGGTACCACCATCCACCCTTTCGGGCCCTTGTAACCCCCTTGTTGCAGTGGTGATTTTGAGCGTCCGCGGAAGCCTGGTGCGCAAGTTTATGCTGGCCGCGCACTCCCTGGGGATGACCAAGGGCGACTGGACCTTCCTGGACGTGGAGATCTTCCAGGGGTCTTACTGGAAGGACCACGACTGGGAAGCGGGAGACAGCAACGACGCGGCGGCTCGGAAGGCCTACGAGGCGCTGCTGAGGGTGTCTTTGCTGCAGCCCACGAGCGACCAGTTCCAGGATTTCGCAGACAGGGTGAAGGAGCGGGCGCTGAGGGACTACAACTATAGCATAAGCGAAGGAGAGGAGATCAATTTTGTGATTGGGGCTTTTTATGATGGGGTGTATTTGTTGGGAATGGCGCTGAACGAGACTTTGATGGAAGGCGGGGATATTAGGAACGGGATTAACATTACGACGAGGATGTGGGCGAGGGATTTTCATGGTAAGGCATAAGTGTTATCGTTAGTTTTACAACATTATTAACTTGTGTTATTGTTTACGATATTACAACGACTACGTATATTGAGAAAAAGGGCAAAATATAAGCCCCGCCCACCCGCCCTATCTCAATTGTGATGATTTTTTTAAATCGTTAGTCGAGATTACCATGTAAGACATTTTTTTGAGTATCGTGTTATTCAAAGAATACAACGTATACTAAGAAAAAATGAAAACCAAAGATTAAGCCCCACCCATACCTGCCCTGACTTGAATAGCAATAAAGTTTTCATTCGTTGGCAGAGCTAGGGGCGGAGCCTAATTGCAAAATCCATATTTCCTTACAAAAATTTACCATTTTAAACGTGTTTTTAAGTTTCTAACAATAAAAAAATCGTCACAATTGAGATGGGGTGGGTGGGCGGGGTGTATATTTTGTCTTTTTGTCTTAATATACATTATTCTTTGAACAACACGATACTCAAAAACATATTTTTAATTTTTCGTTACGAAATAATTATTTTGCAGTTAAGCTCCGCCCCTTTGGTTCACGGCGAATAAAAAAATCATCACAATTGAGACAGGGCGGGTGGGCGGGCTTATATTTTGCCTTTTTAGTTAAAAACCTCTACAGATTCCTTTACCTCACAAAATGGAAGTTTTTCGTCGAAAATAACCTAATATTATCGAAGAAAAAAACACCTTGACATTTACAAATTGTTGAATTTAGCAGACTTATCTCAGTCCCGGTGTGGTGCCCTACGTGTGTTAAATCGGAAAATGGCCTCTCAGCCTAAATTCTTGTCGACTTACTTACGAAAATCAATTTATTTAAGTTAGTCGGTTGAACGAATGATGAATCTCTAATTTCCGTCTGCCTGTCTGTTTTTCTGTGTGGAAATCTTGAAGGCCAACTAACCTATGATTTTAAGCGGACTTCAAAATTATTTCAAAATTGCTAATACAGTATAACTTCTATAATCCGAACTCACGATTATCCGAACATCCAGTAATCCGAACAGAGGCTAGTTGAAGTCGATGCCTCTTTAATCCGAACAAAAATTACGTAATCCGAACTGAACTTGAAAACATGCAACTACTTGTAAAAATGACGCGAAATCTTCTTTCTGCACTTGTATTGAATTTTCTGAAATTTTTAGAAATTTCGATATTTCAATGCACTGAATTAATTAACTAATTGTGGAAAAAAGGTTGAAGTTATCGAAGAAATAAGGCCGGAAGTGAAGTCTGCGGTCCGAAATTTACCAGAAAAAGTATTTAGTTAAATTTCAAAAATTATCAAAAATGGGTTGAAATTTGCACAGTGGAAAATTTCATTTTTGAAAAAATTCTGAAAAAAATCAGGGACGTAGATCTCGATATGCTGATTCCAAAAATATAGTGTGTTGATGATCACGGAGCAACATTTTCGAAAGAATCGGTATGAAATGCGAATTTTTGAAAATTTCTAAAAATTTCGATATTTCAACCCCTCGATTCCGGCAAAATGATTGCAGTTATCAAAGAGACGATGCCGGAAGTGAATTCTAGAACTCGAAATCTACAAGAAAATGTGTTTAGTTAAGTTTCGAAAATGTCAAAAATTGGTCGAAATTTGAAGAAGGGGGGACCATTGAAAAAATTTCACTTTTTAAAAAGTTTTCTAAAAATTGTGAAAAAATTCGCGGACGTAGATCTCGACATGCTGGTTCCAAAAATATAATGTGTTAATGATTACGGAGCAACATTTTCGAAAGAATCGGTATGAAATGCGAATTTTTGAAAATTTCTAAAAATTTCGATATCCCAACGGTCGATTCCGGCAAAAGGATTACAGTTATCAAAGAAACGATGCCTGAAGTGAATTCTAGAACTCGAAAGCTATAAGAAAATGTGTTTAGTTAAGTTTCGAAAATGTCAAAAGTTGGACGAAATTTGAAGAAGGGGGGACCATTGAAAAAAATTTCACTTTTAAAAAAGTTCTCTAAAAATTGTGAAAACATTCAGGAACGTAGATCTCGACATGCTGATTCCAAAAATATAGTGTGTTGATGATCACGGATCAACATTTTCGAAAGAATCGGTGTGAAATGCGAATTTTTGAAAATTTCTAAAAATTTTGATATTTCAACGGTCGATTCCGGCAAAAGGATTACATTTATCAAAGAAACGATGCCGGAAGTGAATTCTAGAACTCGAAAGCTACGAGAAGATGTGTTTAGTTAAGTTTCGAAAATGTCAAAAATTGGCCGAAATTTGAAGAAGGGGGGACCATTGAAAAAAATTTCATGTTATAAAACGTTTTCTTAAAATTGTGAAAAAATTCAGGGACGTAGATCTCGATATGCTGATTCCAAAAATACAGTGTGTTGATGATTACGGAGCAACATTTTCGAAAGAATCGGTATGAAATACGAATTTTTGAAAATTTCTAAAAATTTCGATATTTGAACGGTCGATTCCGGCAAAAGGATTACAGTTATCAAAGAGACGATGCCGGAAGTGAATTCTAGAACTCGAAAGCTGCAAGAAAATGTGTTTAGTTAAGTTTCGAAAATGTCAAAAATTGGCCGAAATTTGAAGAAGGGGGACCATTGAAAAAAATTTCATTTTTAAAAGTTTTCTAAAAATTGTGAAAAAATTCAGGGACGTAGATCTCGACATTCTAATTCCAAACATATAGTGTGTTGATGATCACGGAGCAACATTTTCGAAATAATCGGTATGAAATGCGAATTTTTGAAAATTTCTAAAAATTTCGATATTTCAACGGTCGATTCTGGAAAAACGGTTGCAGTTATCAAAGAAACGATGCCGGAAGTGAATTCTATAACTCGACATCTACAAAAAAATGTGTTTAGTTAAGTTTCGAAAATGTCAAAAATTGGCCGAAATTTGAAGAAAGGAGGACTATTGAAAAAATGTCTTTTTTAAAAAAGTTGTCAAAAAATTGTGAAAAAATTCAGGGACATAGGCCTCAACATGCTGATTCCAAAAATATAGCGTGTTGATGATCACGGAGCAACATTTTCGAAAGAATCGGTATGAAATGCGAATTTTTGAAAATTGCTAAAAATTTCGATATTTCAACGGTCGATTCTGGAAAAAGGATTACAGTTATCAAAGAAACGATGCCGGAAGTGAATTCTAGAACTCGAAAGCTACAAGAAAATGTGTTTAGTTAAGTTTCGAAAATGTCAAAAATTGGTCGAAATTTGAGGAAGGGGGGACCAATGAAAAAATTTCACTTTTTAAAAAGTTTTCTAAAAATTGTGAAAAAAATTCAGGGACGTAGATCTCGACATGCTGATTCCAAAAATATAGTGTGTTGATGATCACGGAGCAACATTTTCGAAAGAATCGGTAAAAAATGCGAATTTTTGAAAATTTCTAAAAATTTCGATATTTCAACGGTCGATTCCGGCCAAGCGCGGATCCAGGGGGGGGGCAATGGGTGCAATTGCCCCCCCTCACACAGGACCGAGGTACTTTATTTTGACCAATTTCAAAATTTTGAAATCACATTTCATTTTGTAAATACAGTACCTACAACCTCTATAATCCGAATTCACGATTATCCGAACACAGGCTATTTGAAGTCGATGCTTCTTTAATCCGAACAAAAACTCTACAATCTGAACTGAACTTGGAAACACGCACCTACTTGCAAAAAAGATCTTTTTACATATGTTGTATAGACTATTTTGAAATTTTTAAAAATTGCCATATTTCAATGCACTGAATTAATTATTATCTAATTCTGGAAAAAAGGTTGAAGTTATCGAAGAAATGAGGCCCGAAATCTACAAGAAAAGGTATTTAGGTAGTGAAATTTCCAAAATCGTCGAAAATAGGTCGAAATTTGCATGAGGAACATTTCATTTTTGAAAAAATTTCCTAAAAATTCTGAAAAAATTCAGGGATATGTATATCCCGACGTTCTGATTCCAAATATAGCATGTTAATGGTAACCGAGCAATATTTTCGAAAATTCGGTGTGAAATTCGAATTTTTCGAAATTTTTAAAAATTGCCAACTGGACGAATCTGGGAAAAAGGTTTAAGTTATCGAAGAAATGAAACCAGAAGTGACTTCTGAGGTCCAAAATCTACAAGAAAATCTATTTAGTTAAATTTCGAAAATCGTCGAGAATACATAATGGAAAATTACATTTTTGAAAAATTCGTCTAAAAATTCTGAAAAAAATCAGGGTATACCTAGATCCCAGCGTGTTCGAAAAAGATAGCGTGTTTATGGTCACGGAATAATATTTTTTTAGAATGCATCTATTATCCATTGTTGCTTAAGAATTCTTTAATTTTGTTTAATAAAATTAAGGTTTATTTCTTGAAGTTTGTTTTCAACTGTGTATGAAGTTGTTATTCAATTTCCTTTCAGATTTTTGGGAAAATCGCTGATCCGAACAAATCGTTAATCCGAACACACCTTTTTCCCAATTAATTCGGATTATCGAGGATCTACTGTACACGACGAAAACAACCAAATGTCACCCATGTTATGTGAAAAGAGTATACTAGTTAAAATTTTATAATTTTTTTTGTTTAGAACGCATTTCTGGGAAATAGGTTAAATACCACAAAAATTGCCCCCCCCTAAACGAAATCCTGTATCCGCGCCTGATTCCGGCAAAATGATTGCAGTTATCAAAGAAACGATGCCGGAAGTAAATTCTAGAGCTCGAAATCTACAAGAAAATGTATTTAGTTAAGTTTCGAAAATGTCAAAAATTGGCCGAAATTTGAAGACCATTGAAAAAATTTCATTTTTAAAAAAGTTGTCTGAAAATTGCGAAAAAATTCAGGGACTTGGATCTCGACATGCTGATTCCAAAAATATAACCTGTCGATGGTAACGGAGCAATATTTTCAGAAAATTCGGTGTGAAATTCGAATTTTTCGAAATTTTTAAAAATTGCTATATTTCAATGGATGATTCTGGAAATACCTAATACAAATACATAATGGAAAAGGTTTATTTCTTAAAGTTTGTTTTCAGCGGTGTATGAAGTCCCTTTCTGATTTTTGGGAAATTCGCTGATCCGAACAAATCGCTAATTCCCCAATTAATCCGGATTATCGAGGTTATACTGTAATTTAACTAATTGTGTTTCCGTTCTAAAAAACTGATGACGTCAATAGAATGACATGCTCTCTATAATTTACTTAATAAAGTTTAAACACAGAAATTAACTGAAATTTATTTGTTAAGTGCACTTCAAAGAAATATTATTTGGTATAGAGATAGTTTACCCACTAATCAGTGATATGCTTCTTTTTAGAACTGATTACTCAGGATATGTCAATAGAAAGTAGTGATGAAGCGATCTTATTTATTGATTACCTCGGAAACGGCTCGTTTAATTTTACAACACTTTCTTAAGAACTCATTTAAACGCAATGACTGGGGTTTTTGCGTATTTATGTAATTTAAAGCGACTTGAGGTCCCAAGGTCACCTAAACCATTAAACTTTCATCAAATTCGGGAATGACATGCTTGGTGTCCACTATTTATGACTCCTAATATTTTATTTTGGTTGGTTAAGGAATCACAGGACATGTCCGCATTGACAACAACGGCGACAGGGACGCTGATTACTCAGTCCTGGATCTGGACCCAATTACAGGAAAATTTGAAGTAGTGGCCCACTACTATGGTGTCCATAAACGTTATTCGCCCGTCCAAGGCAAAAAAATTCACTGGCCTGGAGGAATGGAAGGCCCACCACCCGATATTCCAAGGTGCGGCTTCCTGGACAATGACCCAGACTGTCGGAACCATGGTAATATGGTTAAATTTGCAAACTATTGAACTATTATGTTTCTTTTGAAGAAACCTACAAAATCATCTTGTATGGATCTTTCGCCTTTGGGGTCTTCCTGGCTTTCATTGTCACGATTGTCTGCATCTGCAACAAGTAAGTGGTCTAGAGTCAAGTCAAACAATTGAATGATTCTTTGATAGACAAATGAGAATCGCCGCCGACCTCAACAACATGTCCTGGCGCATCCGCCCCGAGGAAGTCCTAATCGAAATCGGCAAACCCTTCGGATCAAAACTGGCCCTCCAAAAACCGCCAGAAGTAAGTCCAACACACCTCACTTCCCCATCTAAACTCATTTTTGTAGACCTTCGGTCTACGCAGCGCCCGCGCCTCCATCACCTCCACCAACTCCATCCAAACCAAAATCTTCACCACCGTAGGCATCTACAAGGGAAATCGCGTCGCTATCAAAAAAATTTCGAAAAAGAAGGTCGACATTAATAAAAAATTGCTGTGGGAGATCAAGCAAGTGCGGGATGTGACCCACGAGAACACCGTTAGGTTCCTGGGGGCGTGCATCGAGTGCCCCACCGTACTAATTTTGACCGAGTACTGTCCAAGGGGGAGCTTGAAGGACGTGTTAGACAACGAAGAAATCCAACTAGACTGGAATTTTCGGATGTCGCTGATCCATGACGTCGTTAAGGTTGGGTGTGTCTTTGATTGGTCTTGTAGTCATACTGGTCTTACAGGGGATGAGTTACCTCCACAGCTGCGAAGTGTCAGTTCACGGTAAACTAAGATCTTGTAATTGTTTGATTGACGGTCGATTCGTTTTGAAGATTTCTGATTTTGGACTTACGACTTTAACATCACCTATGCAAGTGGAAAAGGACTCCGATTTTTACAAAAGTACTAGCTTGTAGGGGTGTAAGTAGAGGCTAAGTGGTGAGGTTTCAGAGATGTTGTGGGTGGCCCCAGAACTGCTTCCTTTGACAGTGATTCCAGGTACTCCAGCTACTCAAAAAGGTGACGTTTATAGTTTCAGCATCATTCTAGAGGAGATTATAGTGAGAGGGGGACCCTACGAAGCCGCTCGACAGTTTCTGGAGCCTCATGGTACCTACATCCCCGAAAGTTGCTATAAATCTGTTGTAGAAATCATTTCCAGAGTTGCTGCTCGCGAAAACCCCCCGTTTCGTCCGGCGATCACCCACAGGCACTGCCCTGAAGACCTGGTAGACTTGATGGACCGCTGCTGGAACGACAACCCCGAAGAAAGACCCACATTCGAGACCATCAAAATTACTCTACGGGGAATAATGAAGTAACCTTAGTCCCTCCATGTAGCCACCTTTACACTCCAAATTTTTCCAGAGGTTATTGTGAAAACCTCATGGATGACCTTCTTCGTCGCATGGAACAGTACGCCAACAATTTAGAGGCGCTAGTTGGCGAAAAAACCGAACAACTGAGTCAAGAGAAGCGAAGATCTGAAGAACTATTGTATCAAGTACTACCACGTCCGGTAGCCCAACAGTTGATGGCCGGAGAATTAGTGCAGCCAGAACAGTTTGAATGTGTGACTGTCTATTTTAGCGACATCGTCGGATTTACTGCTTTGTGTGCCAAAAGTAGCCCAATGCAAGTGGTGGATTTTTTGAACGATCTGTATAGTACCTTCGACAGGATTATAGGGTCGTTCGATGTTTATAAGGTGGAAACTATAGGGGATGCATACATGGTGGTGTCTGGGCTTCCGGAACGCAATGGGGATGCGCATGCTAAAGAAATAGCGCTTTTGTCTTTGGCGATTTTGGACGCTATTCGGTGCTTTAGTATCCAGCACAATCCGGACTACCAGTTGAAGGTACTACTTGACCCTTGAGTGTGACAAGGTTTTGATTTTGGGTTTGAATAGGTGAGGATTGGGATTCATTCCGGGCCGGTGTGTGCAGGGGTGGTGGGGCAAAAAATGCCCCATTATTGTTTGTTTGGTGACACAGTAAACACAGCTAGTCGGATGGAGAGTACCGGACAGCGTAAGTCCAATTTAGTACTCATTTTCTTTTCATTTTTTGGAAAATTGCAGCTTTGAAGATACATGTGAGTGAAGCTACTAAAAATATCCTGGAGAAGTTTAGGACTTTTCGTCTGGAGTTGCGAGGCGAGGTTGAGTTGAAAGGGAAGGGGTTTGTTACTACGTACTGGTTGATGGGTAGTACTGAGCCGGTGGCTAAGCCTCCATCACCGGCCACTTGTATGGGGGACCAAGATGTTAATCCATATCCACTTATTTTTATGGGAAATTAAGAGTGTGATAATAAAGATTTATTTGTATGGACGTGGTGTTTTTGTTGTTTGTCCTGGCAACATGGCGGAATGTGTTCGTAGGCACAAAGTAATGAAACAAAAGCGTACTTTAATGTTTTTTTATTATGCTACTGATTTGTTGTAACATTTATTTCTTATTTTTGTTGAAAAAAATGAGAGAACGGGTAGGTGGGCGGTGCTTAGCTTAACTTTTCTCTACAGATTTTTTTATAAGCAAGCAATAGCCCCGCCCTCTATTTTTTTAGGAGGCATGTAATTTGCCACAATCAGTCTCATATTAGCAAGTTTTAACCCCGCCCACCCACCCTTTTTTCTTCTTAGAGCATATGTTATTTACCAAAATCAGTCTTATTTTAACAAATAGTAGCCCCGCCCACCTGCCCTATATTTTCTTAGGGGATATGTAATTTGCCACAATTAGTCCTATCTTAGCAAATTTTAGCCCCGCCCACCCACCTTTTTTTTCTTAGGAGATGTCATTTACCAAAATCAATCTTATCTTAACAAATACTAGCCCTGCCCACTCGTCCTCTATTTTCTTAGGGGATATGTAATTTACCACAAACAGTCCTATCTTAGTAAATTTTAGCACTTGCTAAGATAAGATTGATTTTTGGTAAATGATATCTCCTTTAGGAAAATAAAAAGCAGGTGGGCGGGGCTAGTATTTGCTAAGATAAGGCGAATTCTGGCAGATGACATATAGTGCAATAAAATAAAGGGTGGGTGGGCGGGGCTAGTACTTGCTTAGATAGACTGATTTTGGCAAATGATATATCCCTTCAGAAACTAAAGGGTGGGTGGGCGGGGTGAGCACTCGCTAAAGTAAAACTGATGTGGCAAATGACATCCTCTAAGAAAATAAAGGGCACGTGGATGGAGCTGGGATTTGTTAAGATACACTGATTTTGGCAAATACTATATCCTTTAAGAAAATAAAGGGCGGGTGGGTGTTTGGAGCTGATACCTATCAAGATGAGACTGATTTTGGCAAATGAACAATAACAAGGCAACCATTTCCATTCGCGGTTCGTTGGGTCAATTATAAATATTGACCTCATGCAGAGTGTATAAAAGTACATGGAGATTTTCTTTGAATGGGAGTGAAATAAACTTTTATTAAATTCGTTCAAAGCAGGCAAATATAACTACTGAGAACTGCAATAATAATGATATGTTGTTTTTGTAATAATTTGATAAAATTCCAAAAAATGAGAGAACGGGTGGGTGGGCGGGGCTTAGTTTAATTTTCCCTAAAGAATATTTTATAAACAAGCAATAGCCCCGCCCACTCACCCCCTCTTCATTCATTGTTGTTTGCTATAACATATAACACCCGCCCTCTATTTTCTTAGGAGTTATGTAATTTGCCACAATCAGTCTTATATTAGCAAGTTTTAGCCCCGCCCACCCACCCTTTTTTCTTCTTAGAGGATGTCATTTATCAAAATCAATCTTATCTTAGCAAATACTAGCCCCGCCCACCCGCCCTCTATTTTCTTAGGGGATATGTAATTTGCCACATTCAGTCCTATCATAGCAAATTTTAGCCCCGCCCACCCGCCCTCTATTTTCTTAGGGGATATATAATATACCGTAAACAGTCCTATCTTAGCAAATGATATATTCTCTAGGAAAACAAAGAGCGGGTGGGCGGGGCTATTATTTGCTAAAATAAGGGGAATTCTGGCAGATGACATATACTCTAATAAAATAAAGGGTGGGTGGGCGGGGCTAGTACTTGCTTAGATAGACTGATTTTGGCAAATGATATATCCCCTAAGAAACTGAAGGGAGGGTGGGTGGGGCCAGCACTTGCTAAGGTAAAACTGATTTTGGCAGATGACATCCTCTAAGAAAATAAAGACCGGGTGGGTGTTTGGAGTTGGTCCTTATCAAGATGAAACTGATTTTGGCAAATGAACAATAACAAGGCAACAATTTCCATTCTCGGTTCGTTGGGTCAATTATAAATATTGACCTCACGCAGAGTGTAGAGAGTACATGGAGATTTTCTTTGAATGGGAGTGAAATAAACTTCTATAAAATTCGTTCAAAGCAGACAAAGTCAAATATAACTACTGAAAACTGCAATAATATGTTGTTTATGTAATAATTTGATAAAATTCCAAAAAATGAGTGAACCGGTAGGTGGGCGGGGCTTAGTTTAACTTTTCCCTACAGAATATTTTATAAGCGAGCAATAGCCCCGCCCATCCACCCCCTCTTCATTCATTGTTGTTTGATATAACATATAACACCCGCCCTCTATTTTCTTAGGAGGTATGTAATTTGCCACAATCAGTCTTATATGTATTAGCACGTTTTACCCCCGCCCACCCACCCTTTTTTCTTAGAGGATATGTCATTTATCAAAATCAATCTTATCTTAGCAAATACTAGCCCCGCCCACCCGCCCTTTATTTTCTTTGGGAATATGTAATTTGCCATAACCAGTCCTATCTTAGCAAATTTTGGCCCCGCCCACCCACCCTTGTTTCTTCTTAGAGGATATGTCATTTACCAAAATCAATTTTATCTTAACAAATACTAGCTCCGCCCACCCGCCCTCTATTTTCTTAGGGGATATGTAATTTACCACAAACAGTCCTATCTTGGCAAATTTTAGCACTTGCTAAGATAAGACTGATTTTGGCAAATGACATCCTCTAAGAAAGTAAAAGGCGGGTGGGCGGGGCTAGTACTTGTTGAAATGGACTCATTTTGGCAAATTATATATTCTCTAGAAAAATAAAGGGCGGGTGGGTGGCCTAATATTTGCCAAGATAAGGCGGATTCTGGCAGATGATATATACTCTAATAAAATAAAGGGTGGGTGGGCGGGGCTAGTATTTGCTTAGATATACTGATTTTGGCAGATGATATATCCCAAAGAAACTAAAGGGTGGGTGGGCGGGGGCAGCACTTGTTAAGGTAAAACTGATTTTGGCAACTGACATCCTCTAAGAGAGTAAAGGGCGGGTGGGCGGGGTTAATACTTGTTGAAATAGAATGATTTTGGCAAATGATATATCCTCTAGGAAAGTAAAGGGCGGATGGGCGGAGCTAGTATTTGCTAAGATAAGGCGGATTCTGGCAGATGACATTATACTCTAATAAAATAAAGGGTGGGTGGGCGGGCGGGGCCAGTACTTGCTTAGATAGACTGATTTTGGCAAATAATATATCCCCTAAGAAACTAAAGGGCGGGTGGGCGGGGACAGCACTCGCTAAGGAAAAACTGATTTTAACAAATGACATTTTCTAAGAAAATAAAGGGCTCGTGGGCAGAGTTGGGGCTTTCTAAGATACACTGATTTTGGCAAATAACATATCCTTTAAGAAAAAAAGGGCGGGCGGGTGTTTGGAGTTTGGAGAGTGTAGAGAGTACACGGAGATTTTCTTTGAGTGGGAGTGAAATATACTTATACAAAATTCGTTTAAGTTCGGAGTTAATTTTAGGTCCCTTGAGTGTTTTATTTTTGGGATAAATTTAAAGGAATCTGGTGTTTTGTTGCAGAGTATATTATTTTAGAAGCCCATCGAGTTTTTTTTTGTAAATTATTATTTAAAAGAATTTTAGGGGATTTTGGTGTTCTATTTTTGGAAAATTCTGACTTGACCTGTTTTTGAGTTAATTTTGGGACCTCGTTTTTTTTTAATTTAAAACAATCTTGAGGTTCTAGGTATTCCTGTTTGGAAAGGATTTGAAAGTACTTTGGAGCCTCTAGTGTCTTTTCTTATAATAATTTAATTAAATTTCTTAGAAGATACGTCATTTGCTACCCATCCTCTTTTTTTAGAGGGTATATCATTTGCCAAAATCAGTTTTATCTTACCAAGTAGTGCTTACTGATGACTAACTTTTACAAAAAATGATCAAAATTTGGAAACATTACGAGCTTACATAAAATAAGGAATTAAAAAAAATGTTTATTTTTCCATTCACAATTTTAAAGACACTAAGAAAAAGAGAAAAACCGAATTAAAGTAACTGGATGCAAGTACACAAGTTATTATTATTACGAATATGTGGCAGCAAATATAAATATTATGGCAGTTGATCAAAATCACAAGCATCTGGTCTCGGAAACGCTACGCTCTCGAGCGGCGCCGTCGAGAATAAATGTTCAATTCAAGCCGCAAAATATTATTAAACCTCGAACAGAATCCAACACGCGACAAGCCACAAACAACCGGAAACAGGAGACTTATTTTTCCACACTGTAGGAGACAAGAAACGTCAAAGAGTGTAAATATTCCGATTTTTTGTTATTCAGTGAAAACACTCCATAATTTTCAATTACGTTTACAAATGTTGCGCAGGGTTTAATTTGGAATAAAAAACTAGGTCGTGGGGAAAACTGAAAAATTATGTAAAAACTCTGGAGTGGGGTATTTTCGCTTAAGTAATTTACTACCCTGTTTGCGCTCAACCATTAAAACAACCCCTTAGGAGTACACGTTATGCCACTTTCGCCCGTAATATACAAATAACTGTTTCAAGTAATGATAAAATAAACGAGGTCCTACGTTTTTTAACCAAGTAGAAAACGTGGCAAACAATAGTGATTGTGTTTCCCGTAAAAACTGTTTGTGTGAATACTGAAAAGGTAATAAACCTTCTGTTTAATATTAATTTAAAGTTGCACACAATTCACACTTCTATAAATACTTGGTCAAATAAGTCAAGTATTCGCGCACCATGTACTTAGGCTTATCTGCAGGTTGACCTTGTAGAATGTATTTTAAGTGCTTAGTGACATATCTAACAATATTTATTGTAAATTGCGAACATTTGATGATTCATCAACAGATGATCTACAAAGATTAGATATCTATCGCATTCCAGAATCATGTTAGTGTCAATAAAACCATAAAGATTACATCATGTCAAAGATTCTTCTCGGTTATCAGTCGTGTGTTAACCACTGAGTCAACAACTTAAAAACGATTACTTCTACATTAAACTCGTCTATTGTCTCGCTCCGAGAAAAGATTTCTTATCTCGAAACGGGTATCAATTAAAAATAATGAAACTAATGCACTTTACTAAATAATTTTATTTAAATACACATCACATCCAACAAAAATATCCCAGTACAAAATCGATACATATAAAAACCATGTAAATTATCACCTCGTTAACCTGCCATAATATTTAAAACTTAAAGAAATGCACTATTTTGAGTAGGAAAAAATGAGATTCTTATTTCTTAGTGTAAATATCACTATAATAAAATAAACACACAAAAAAAAAATAAACAACGGAATGTTCCTTCTGTATATAAAAGGTGAAAAGTGACTCAGTCTACTTCAAGATTTTTGAAACAAAGACTTGCGATGATGCAACGATAACAATGACATCACAGCCTACTTAGTTTTTGTTAGGAGACTCTTTAACTGGAACTGCTTTTGGTTGATCTTTAACAGGTTGTCTTTGAGCTTCGTTTTGGGTGGACTTGGTCACAGTAGGCGCTGGAGTAGGTTTAGGTGGTGTGGTGGTAGTAGGTTTAGGTGTTGTCGTTGTAGTGGTAGTAGGTTTGGGTGTTGTTGTAGTTGTAGGTTTAGGTGTTGTTGTTGTAGTGGTTGTAGGTTTAGGTGTTGTAGTGGTGGTGGTCGTTGGTTTGGGTGTTGTTGTTGTAGTGGTTGTAGGTTTCGGTGTTGTTGTTGTTGTTGTAGGTTTAGGTGTTGTTGTTGTTGTTGTGGTAGGTTTGGGTGTTGTTGTTGTTGTTGTTGTGGTTGGTTTAGGTGTTGTAGTAGGTTTAGGAACGTTATTCAAGTGTCCCCAGCCTATTTTATCCAAGGAAATGCGGCCTATGTAGTCATTGAACGGTGACCCTAAATACAGGGTGTTTTTGAAAACGTGGGCTTCACTAATGCCCGCCAGTTTTCCAGTTAGGCAGTGTATACTATCTAGAATTTCCCCATTTTTCGAGACGTGCAAAATGGAAGTCCTCTTCGGGTACAGCGGCGACCCCATAACGAAGTGCCCCACGTAGTGGGCCCCAATTCTCGAAAACTCATTCGGATACAAATCGTTGGTAAACTTAAACCCGAATTGAACAAGCCCTAAAATCCTCGCTATCAGCTTTCTCAAAAGTGGAAAAGGCCCGAAAATTTGTCCAATCGCGGGATGGTAATCATCCACCGCCACCACCAAAGGAACAATAAACCCGCCCTTCCCATCCGCCTTCAAATTATCCGTCATCCCCGGCAACCCATCGATAAACACGTCCCGCGTCCCCTTCTTCGCCCCCTTCAAGTAGTACCGATGCAGCCTGTTCCGCATCGTTTCCGACACCAAAATAAACTCTTCATCCTGCGCCAACGCGACGCCATTCGCGAAATGCAAATCCGCTATCAACACGGAATTTTTTTTCGTTTTGGAATCATAATGAATCAATCTGAAATAAAAAATTAATTAAGCAAACTCGTTTCGCTAACCTTCGCAAACAATTACACATTCAAACGTACCTCCCACTCCCGTCCGCCAACAAGTCAAAAACCCCGTCCTGGAGCTGAAACTCGGTGCTGGAGTCCGTCCAGAACAAGTCGCCGTTGCTGCCGACGGCCACCGAATTCGGCAGGGTCACATTGCGCCCGCCGATCACGTCGTCGATAGCCACCAAGCGCTGCTTGTTGCCGGTGGCGACGTCCACTTTGTACAGTCCGTAGTAGGCATCAGCGACGTACAAAACGCCGGATTTGTCGAACGCCATGCCGAGGGGGCGCCCACACAGCTCCTCCTCGTGCACCCCCTTGCAAGGCTTGCCGAACTTGACTACGGGGGTGATGTGGTTGCCGACGAGCTTCACCACGTCGCCCCCGTGCAGCGTAGTGTAGAGCTCGCCTTTGTAGTCAGCGAAGGCTTCGGGGCCGTGCAGGTCGCCCTTATGCCAGAGTTCTACGTCATTGAGCTTCTCGTTGAGCGCGAGCCCCCCTTGGAACGGCCGAATTGGGGCTACTCTGTTGAGGGGTTAGTGGAGGCTGGTGGGTAAAGTACGATACTTACTTGTATGACTGGGAGAATTTCGCGTCTGGGGGTACTCGAGGTAAGAATAACAGTAACAGAGCGAGGATGAGGAATTCGATTGCTCGGCGAGTGAGGAATTTGACGATGCCCAAAAGACCCATCTCTGAAGTGAGGTTAGAGTGAGAAATATGTTCGTGAGGGGACCGGAGACAACTCACTTGTTACTTATCGCTACGACGATGACACGGCAATTAAAAACTTACGGCTAACTGTTCATTTCACGTTTCACGGACCTTGAACCAGCCTTGAACTGTTTTGACAACATGGAATGACAGATGGTTCGAATGTGGCGCCATCTGCGCACCAGCCAAATGGACTGCGTAAAAGTCCCTAGTTCTCGATTAAAAAAGGCAGCGGCAGCCCCACAAAAAAAGAAAAAGCGTACGTATGACTGAGGAAATGCTGTACCGATTCGGAATAAAATAGAAATTATTTACAACCACTTTCTAACTTGACTGAGTAAAACATGACGGAACAAAAATCCCTAGTTACTTCAAACTTCCACAAGGGGGCTATCGTTATTCATTATGTACTAATCGGCTAATTGTCACCACATCAAAAAGTATTATCTCTTCAACGGGTAATTAGTAAAACAACATTTACTATTTAGTATCTTATTATGATATAAATTCGAAATATTAAATAGCGCCTTAACCTAATCCCCCATTCGCCAGTCGTCTTGCTGCAGCCGAAACGTCCAGTTGTCACTCCTCAACACTTGAACCCCCGGCCCATAATATGGAATTATGTACGCAGACCCATCTGCAGGTCCCACCATTTGTGTCGCAATCAACACAATATCGATCAACTGGCCCAAAAACATGAACCCTAATGTACAAAATTTGGCTAGTCCGATCGCCGGGTACCCCAAATAAAACCGATCAACGCCGAACATTCCCAAAAATATGGACAATAGTAGCGCAGTTTCAAAAGAGTAACCATTCCTGAAATAACCAATTTTTGGAAAATTGCTTTAACACGAAACCAAGTGACTTACGTCCATTTACATGGCATAGTTCTGTTGAACGTGGAGCTGTTGGTGTCGGTGCAATTTAGGCCATCGACTGCTATACACGGAACTAGAAAAACGTGCGTTAGTGATAATAGTCGGGTGATGGTGATAATACAACCTTCGGCTGTGTTGTCTTTGGAGCAGCCCCGAATTTGCTGGGTTTTGGGGTCCACGAGATCGTAGTTGGGGTCAGGGCAGATGTATTGACCCATGCGGAGGGTTTTGCAGTCTACGAGTGAGGGGTTGGAGTTCGTTGTGTACACCCATGCTGTTAAGACGAGGTTTAGGAGAAAGATTTTCTTCATTTTTCATGTTCTCGCATAGTGGTGTCGTGAGGTTATGTTTATGTCATCTGTCATATCTGTCTATGAACGAATCGGGAAAATATGTACATAATAATATGACTCCGTTAGTAAAATAAAATAATAAATACGATGTTGTTAATTAAAGTCAAACAGCTCCAAATTGGGTTTTTAAAGAGTCGTTGTTGAAAAGTGAGGTTATGTGTGTCATCTGTCAAAACATATAAAAATAAATATTTATTATTATAAGATAAGTACAAACACCTTGTTGTTGTTTCCTGTACAAGACTTCTGCGTCATGGATTGTTTCCGGCGCATATTTTGACTGCTTGCACGAATTTTTTGTCAAAACGAAAAAGTGAGGTTATGTGACTTGCGGGGCTATGGCGCGCTATTTAGCCCGTATTTCTGCGAACACGCCGCGTGTCATCTCCGTTTTAGCCCTCTGTAGACCCTCGCCCCACTTTTCTTCCAAATTCGAAGTCGACATTATGGATGAATTCACGTCCCAGTTGATGCAAAGAAAAATAGGCAAGTGGGACCAGAAAAAACGCAAATATGACGCTTTTTTAGAAACCCCAACGCCAAAATTAGAAGACAAACAAACCAATACAGTCACGGAAAAAGTGCGGCCGGATAATCTCGGCCTCATGTTTCAAAATTTATTGGACAATGAAGACACAGAGGGGGTTGTTCAGTTGATAAAGTCGTGTGTTAAGCACAACGCGGCGCCCCCAGCGACCGCGGTGATAAATATTGCCTCGGTTTGTGCTCACAGCGGAGAAAGAGACACTCTTGTACAACTACAAGAGTTATGCCAACGCCACCATCCACAACTATTGAAGGAAAATTCACAGTTTAGAGACTTTCTAGCGCAGGCTGTATGGGTCAGAGGTGACGTTTCAAAAGCTTTGGAGATGTTTGAAGACGTGTATCGAGAAAATGCCTACTTGCGTCGAAGAATCAGGCTCATGTTGAAGTATTTGATTGCTGATTTGGTGACAAATGGCAGCGAGGCGGCGCTTGGAAACATGATTAGTTTTTCAGAACGCATTGTTAAGGATTTCCAAGACTTTTTTCCATTGGCTTGCGTATGGCAAGGGTGTTTTTTAAGTGAGTGGTTTACCGATCAAAGGGTCGCTTTAGAACTTCTAGAGAAGCATAATGGCTTGTGCAAGTCTGTGATCAATAGGATACCTTACGTAGTTTTCATTTCTTTGAAGTGTCACAGGACTGAGGTTGTCTACAGGTTGTTGGAAATACTGTTGAAGTATAGGATGAAGCCCCAGTATTCAAGTGTGTTGGGGTCACTTCTGGATTATCAGTGTAAGATTTATGAAGTTATTAGGGTTTTTCTGATGTGTGCTTTTAGTTAGGCGCGGCGACTGGACCCGCTGCTCTGAAATAATCAACTGGGCCGTGGACAACGAGGTGCCGTTGCCTCAGAAGCACCACATTCAACTGATCAACCTCATTCTTAACCAAAAAATGAAAACTCCGCTCGCCCCTATAGAAAAGAAAGCTGAAGACCGCAACTACGAGTTTAAATTTTAGTAAAATAAAACTGCAAATAATATAAATGTTTTAATTGCGTATAATTATTTCAACAATCGTGTTACTGTGTACTGTGATGATTAACATATTTGGTACACAACTGGACGGATTTGTCTTCCAATTGTGTACAAGTTGACACAGAAAAATACATTTCCCCCCTTTCCCTTAGAAACATTCATTACATAGGCCAACTTATATCACAGTTGCTAAAATGTACATGCTTTGATTTTGGACAGGACCTAATCCACCAGTAAAATATTAGTTACAACTTAAATACTTATGATAAAATAACAGACTGATATCATGTAAATATCAAGAAGTGTAGATTACGCGAAGTATAAATTTGAGCAAGCTTAAATTCATCGAATTTGTAATTGTTTACAAAAATAACAGAAAAATCAACCAGTTCTCAATATCTACATAATACGCTCTACAGATACATAGTACAATCATTTCATATTAAAAATATAATTACTTACTTTACTCTATTGTTACTTTCGTGGGCGCGCTGGAAGTGGTTGCTTTTTTTCTCAATGGACTTCTTCAGTTTTTTCGCTGTCGCCGTAGAATTTAGGCTAAAACGGAAAATTCGTCACCGCCGGGAAAACCCACACTCGAACAAGCAAAATGCAAAACGTGACAAGCAAAAGCAATCGCAACTCATTATTTATTCTAAAGAAAATCGGTCAAACATAACTTACAACAAGAGTAACCGAGGCAGTGACTCTGAAACTAGCACCCATGAAGTCATTATATCTCTATCATTGTAACACTCGCATGTTGTTTTGCAAGAAAATGGAACAGAGAGAGCTCGCTAAACCGTGGAAAATTAACAAATGTGGTTTAATTACAACCGCACGAATTTTCGCAAGAAAAAACGGGTTAGTTTCACCAATTACGTCAAAATTGTCAAACGGGTGGAGTACCAACATAATTATTGTAAAAAATAAATTTCATGACCTACTAGAGGTTTTGTGTGACACATTACAATACAATTTTTTAATTACACATAAAATGTCACTCTGATAGTGTTTGTCCTTCAAGTAAAGGCTTATCGCCTACCAGAAAGTCTAATCACGTTTTTTTTCAAACATAAATGATAACTGATACAACACTAGCAGCTATTTCTTATTGTTTACTCTAAACCACGGTGGTAGAAGTAAGGTGTGGAAACAAGCCGCTCCAATTTGTTGAATAAAACACGCATCCCAGTAGGCTTATTTACTACGAAATAGTATGCAGCACAGTATGTCCACCTATGTATTAACATTTCAACTTGTCAGTGTATTTATGAATGAATTAAGTGACAGATTCGTTGGAGGGAAAATAAATCACAGCACAACGGTTTGTGGTTGGTCCTTGGTGTGAATCGTGTGATTGGTGGATGATTCGACATTTGTGATTGGGTAATAAATGACATTGGCATAAATGTCAAAGATTTAATGCAGTTTTCTATTACTTAATTTCAACTGATCTCTCTAGACGTCGCTGCGGTGTGGACAGCGAATGACATATAATCCAAACCACGCGATTTGTGTTTTCTACCAATGATTTTGAGGAAAGTTATGAATGAGGTTTCCACACCTTACTTCTACCACCGTGCTCTAAACTAAAATAAAATAAAGATAAAACAAGCGAGCTCTTTCTGCTTAGTCATTGATAAGACATGGATAACAATTTCCACAAACCCATTATCACAAAGGAAGCACACTCACTACAATTTTTTTCAACTTACCAAATCGTGGGATTCTGGTTGTCTGTTTGTTTCGTCATCGTCATCCGAGTCTTCCTCCCCAGACGAGTCAGCATTATTTCGATCTGTACAAACTTAAATTAAAAACCAATAATAACAAAAATCGTAGAACACACCCTTCTGCAAATTATCCGTAGTGGTGGTGTGGTTTTTGGCCGACGTGAGAACGTCGTAACAATGTAAACATACTCTCAACGGCTTGGAGCTCTGGTTTGGCAATAAAAATCGCTTATTTGAGCATGGCCCGCAGACCACCGCTCCGCATTTCCGACAGTGGTGCCTCCTGTTGATCAAAGTGAACTGTGACTTTTTACAATGCATGCAGACTGAAGCTTCACCATCGGGGACCCAAACGGCTGCGTGTACCTCGACGGCTTTCTTCCCGCTCTTCCTTAACAGATCTTCGATGCATTTGTTTATGTGCGCCATCCACTCCTGCTTCTCGGTGGCGGTGGCGGCGTAAACCGCGAAGGACTTGGAGGCGGTGCGGATGAGCCAGCCGTTCCGAAATTCTGGAAGGGGTTACTGAATTGCCGGACGAGTATTTGAAAATGGAAAATTGGGAATTGCTGCTATTTCAAGAACGTTAAGATATAAAGTCGAGATTAATATATTTATCCTCACCAAAAACTGATGACGTTTTTCAGAAATTTTAATTAAAGGTGTAATTTATGTTTCTCAATTTTTACACTGTCTACACTTAATCGATGCGAAACATTACAGATTCGATGTACATTGGCAATTCCTTAATTAACATACTAAAAAAAAAAGCCGTAAATACTACCAATCTAAAAAAAGAAAAATGCGGGTGATAGGATTAGCTTTAATATTTGTTTGTCTAGACGGAATTTCCTTTAAACAAAACAACGCTGGCGTTAATTTCGTTCTCATAAACCATGTACTGTTTATTTATATTAAAGCCAAAATATTTTTGCTTCCCGAAGGAATCCGTTTTAAGTTTTCATTTGGATTTTTGCAAAAAAAAAAATTGTACAACATTTCTTGATTTAAGTTTGAAACTGCAAAACCGAATGCTTTGGAATCTTAGGCGTGGTAAATCGTTAACCAAAATTTATTCGTTTATCCCCTCTCAAAAAATTGATGACGTTATCTTAAAATCCTCCCTGAAATATGTAAAATATTTTTACTACATACTTGGGGTTTATCAATGCACTCGTAGTTTTTAGAATTATTTATACAGGGTGACCCAAAAAAATTAACGAATGAGGCAGTTTATTGTAAAAAAAAAATTGGGAATCCAGTGCTGTTATTATTAGTTTTACATTACATTTATCAAATTGATATGCAAAAATTTTGATGACGTAATCACAAAATTTTGTAATGGAAAAACTCCCTTAAATAAACGCGCAGCACAGTTTAACATTGCATACATATCTTTATTTTAACTTAGAAGGGTTATCATAAAAAAATTAAATTCGGAAAATCAAATATGTATATAATACAGTTTTTCGAAAAATCTGGATATATTCACCTTCGACCAATTTTTTGACATCACATTTTTTAATTTAATTTTTTTTTTATTTTTCAATTTTTCGATTTACAATTTTTCAGTTTCTCAATTTTTAATTTTTCGTTTTTTCAATTTTTAAAATTAAACGCTAACCAAAATTTGTCTAATAATGTCCACCAAAAACGTGACGCCATATCCTCAAAATTTTGAACAATAATTATTGTTAAAATTTTCAGTTTGTCGATTAATCGATTTTCGGATTTTTTGATTTTTCAGTTTTTGAATTTTGAATTTTTCGTCTTTTCGATTTCTCGATCTTTTAATTTTTCGAATCTTCAGTTTTCGTCGAATTTTCGGTTTTTTGACTTTTAGGTTTTTGATTTTTGAATTTTTCGATTTTTCAATATGTACACATTTAGATCTTCTATTTTTCGATTTCTCGATTTTTTACCATTTCGATTTTTCAATTTTTTGTTTCGATTTCCCGATTTTTCAATTCTTCGATTGTTGTGTTTCAATTTTTCGATTTTCCTGTCTTTCGACTTCTCGATTTTTCGACTTTGGTTTTTCGATTTATCGATCTTCGAACTTTTCAATATTTCGGTATAACGGTTTTTTGATGTTTTTCCATTTTAAAAATTTTCGGTTTTAAAATTTTTCGTTTTTCGATTTTTCAAGTTTTCGATATTTTAATTTTTCGATTTCCTGGATGTCACGATTGGTCGATTTTTCGACTTTTCAAATTTAGATTTTCGGCTTTTCAATTTCTAGATTTTTAAAATTTTTGCGATTTCGATTTTTCAGTTTTTCGATTGTTCGATTTCTCGAAATTTCGATTTTCCAGTGTTTGGATTTTTCGAAAAACATTTTTTTCGTTGGTTAGGTTATAAAAAATCAATCAAGATTTTTTTTTCTATTTTTCAATTACGAATTATCCGATTTTCCGATTTCTTTAATTTTCAATATTTCGATTCTATAAAATGTATTTGTTTTTTTCGATTTTGCACTTTTTCGATTTTTCAGTTTTTCCTTTCTTCAATTTTTGAAGTTCTTGATTTGATTTTTCAATTTTATTTTTCCATTTTTTTATTCAAGTTTTAGTTTTCCTTGTTATTGGGTGTAAACTTGTTAGGAATAAAGCCTTATTATTATTATTATTATTATTACTATAACTTTCCTCCAATTTTTTAATTTTCATTTTCTCGATTTTACATTACAATTTTTTCGTTTTTTCATTTTCTTTATTTTTTCAATGTTGTCATTTTTCAATGATTAGGGTTTCATAATTTTTCGTTTTTGCAACTTTGTTTTCTTTCAATTTTTCAAATTCTCGACTTCCAAGTTTTAAAATTTTTCGATATTGCAATTTTCTTCCGATTCTTCAGTGTTTCAAGTTCTTGATTTTTATTTTTCATTTTCCTGATTTTTCAGTGATTTTTGATTCCTGGATGTTTCAAATTTTGTAATGTTTCGATTTCAGTTTTTCGATTCTTCCGTTTTTCGATTTTTCGAAATTGTAATATAAATTTCTCAATTTCGTATCACAATTTTTCGTTTATTCAATTCTTGAAATTTTTAATCTCTAATTTTTCAATTCTTCGATTTTATAGTTTATTAAATTTTGCAATTTTTGGATTTCTAAATTATCCGATTTCTTTAAGTTTCAATATTTTAAATCCAATAATTGAAAAAATGTAAAAAACTAAAATAGTAAAACTGAAAAAGTGTAAAATTTTAAACATTATAATTATTATGACATATTTAAAATGGAAACTAGAAAAATTGCAAATCAAAAGTTGAAGAAACGAAAAATTGAAAAATCGAGAAACTGAAAAATCTAAAATTGAAAAACCGAAAAATCAAAAAATCTAAAATTTGAAAAACCGAAAAATGGAAAAAATAAAGAAAATAAAAAACCGAAATGAAAAATTGAAGAAATGGAAAAATGAAAAATCGGGGAATTTGAAAATGAAAACCCGAAAAAACATCATCCGAAAATTGTAAAAATAAAAAGGCAAAACGAAAACTTAGATTTTTTCAATTATTCAATTTGTCGAATTTAAAATTTTTTAATTTTTCGATATTACAATTTTTTGTTCGATTCTTCAGTTTTTCAAGTTCTTGATTTTTATTTTTCATGCTTCTGATTTTTTAATTTTCATTTTCTAAATTTTATATCACAATCGCTGATTTTTCAATTCCTGGATTTTCTAGTTTTTAAATTTTGCAATTTTTGGATTTCCGAATTATCCGATTTCTTTAATTTTCAATATTTCTATTCTATAATATGTATTTGGTTTTTCGATTTTTCAGTTTTTCCTTTCTTCAATTTTTGAAGTTCTTGATTTGATTTTTCAATTTTTTTATTCGAAAAGTTGAAAAACTGAAAAAACGAGAAATTGCAAAATTGAAACACTAAAAATCGAGAAACTTAAGAAACAAATTAATGAATCGAAAAATCGGAAAATCCAGAAACTGAAAAAACGAAAAATTAAAGAATCTAAAATTTTAAAAACCGAAAAATTAAAAATCCAAAAATTGAAAGATTTCACATAAAAAAAAAGAAAAATGATAAAATCAGGACAATGAAATACCGAAAAATGGACAAAATTAAGAAAATAAAAAACAGAAACAAAAAATTGAAGAAACGAAAACTGAAATATCCAGGAATTTAAAAATGAAAATTCGAAAAAAAAAACATCGTAAAACTGTAAAATAAAGAAATCAAAAAGCATAACGAAAAATTCCAAATCGAAAATTTGTAAAATCTAAAAATTGAAAAATTCAAAAGTTGGAAAATTGAAAAAAATTGATATTTATTTTTCATTTTCCTGATTTTTTTAAATGTAAATGTATTTCAACCAATTATATATACATTTTGTAATAATCTGGCGAGTCAATTTTACATATACATCTTTGGTTTCTTCGATTTTGCACTTGTTAGATTGTTCCATATAACAATTTACATTTTTTGATTTTTCAGTTTCTCAATTTTTAATTTTTCGTTTTTTCAATTTTTGTAATTCTTGATTTTTATTTTTCATTTTTCCAATTTTTTAATTTTCATTTTCTCGATTTTTCCTTCTCAATTTTTAATGTTTGGATTTTTTGATTTTTTGTTTCTTCGATTTTTCAAGCTCTCGATTTTTATTTTCCATTTTCCCAACTTTTTAATTTTCATTTTGTCGATTTCACATCACAATTTTTTGTTTTTCATCTTCTTTATTTTTTTCAGTTTTGTTATTTTTCAATGCTTCGGTTTCATAATTTTGCGTTTTCGCAAATTGATTTTTTCAATTTTTCGACTTCCAAATTTTTAGATATTACAATTTTTTTTATTCTTTAGTTTTTCAAGTTCTTGATTTTTATTTTTCATTTTCTCAATTTTATATCACAATTTTTCGTTTATTCAATTCTTCAAATTTTCAATCTCTAATTTTTCAGTTCCTCGAATTTCTAGTTTTTAAATTTTGGAATTTTTGGATTTCTAAATTATCAAATTTTCCGATTTCTTAAATTTTGAATACATATTTCGATTTCATATTTGGTTTTTTCGATATTACAATGAAATTTTTTTATTTTTCCGTTTCTCAATTTCTAATTTTTAATTTTCTCAATATTTCTAATTCTTGATTTTCATTTTTCATTTTCCCAATTTTTTAATTTTCATTTTCTCGATTTTACCTCATAATTTTCCTTTTCAATTTTTAATTTTTGTTTTTTTTCGATGTTTCGTTCCTTCATTTTTTCTAGCTCTCGATTTTTATTTTCCATTTTCCCAATTTTTTAATTTTCATTTTCTCGATTGTACATCACAATTTTCCGTTTTTTCACCTTCTTTATTTTTTTCAATTTTGTCATTTTTCAACGTTTCGGTTTCATAATTTTTCGTTTTTGCAACTACGATATTTTCAATTTTTCAATTTCACGACTTCAAAATTTTAACATTTTTCGATATGTATTACATTTTTTTTCGATTTTTCAGTTTTTCAAGTTCTTGATTTTTATTCTACATTTTCCTGATTTTTTTAATTTTCATTT